AAGTCCCTCATCGACTTCTCGAGAGATATGTGACTTGATCGAGCTTCCGCCTTAGCCGTCACCTTACAACGCTTCTTGGAATCAACCTACGCCTATAGATGAACCATCTCCCTTTGAAGATCCTTGATGGTTCCCACCTACTTAGAGAACTAAATTCGAAAGCTCTTCAGGAGCTCTTCCTTCTCATCCAGACTCTGGTGTCAAGCACCTTCTTTATGAGCCAACTCGGCCTCCAGGGTAGCGACCCTCTTTTCTACCTCCTCCTTGGCTAACTTCTCCTTTGCCAGCTCTGCTTACCACTCCAGGGAATGCTCAAGTCGACTGAACTGAGCTTGCTCCAACAAAGTCCCCCGAGCCAAACAGGCTTGGAGGGCCTGATGTATAGCAATACTTGGCATATCCTACAAAATCCTCTCGTCAGCACCATTCTTCATTTGGTCTAACGGAGTTCCAACTTTTCCCTCGGCGCCATCGTCCACCCTAATCGGCTCCTTGCCAGGACGACGAGACGACTCAAGCATAGAACTGGGGCTGACGGCATCCTCTTCGACCGCTAGGGCCGTTGTCTTCTCGCCAGAAGAAGACTCATCTTCTAGCCCCATATTTTTCAAGCGGTTAAGCTGAGTAACCATTGGACCTGTTCTGGCTTACTGAGGCCCCACAACCGGTCCGATTGGGCGCCGCCTCTCGACCCTTGTCCTCCCCCTTAATTCAGAGACAATTTCGTCTGCTTGAGGTATCAAGACAGCCACCTCCTCAATGTTGAGGGCCTCCATCGGCTTCTTATGAGGCCTAGTAGTGGAACTCGGTCCCTGGGTCCCTGTGTTCCTCTTACGGTTTTCTGCTAATAGAGGAACGAGGCTTACCCTTTCCTGGAAGCCTGTAGAGGACAAGATCATGGATATGCCCGTCGCTTGGAGAGACACATCATCAAATAAAGCATCGCTCTCCCATGGCCCAACATAAGAGAAAACCCTTTCTAGGTCCATCATCTCTTAATCGCTAAGGGTGACTGGTCTCAAAGCGTCCTCATTCGCCTCCAACCAGTCCGAGCAGGCGAAGACACTGTCGCTACCATAAACCCACATGTATCGTATCCTCCAGTCCTTGTCCAACTCTAAAGAGTCTGAGACAAGCTAGAAATCACCACGATAGTGGTAGAAATAATGCGGGTCCTTCTCAGCCGACCCACGCTGATCAAATGTCTAATTAATCTCGACCTTGGTTGGACTCCAACACTATGGCAAATAATGATGAAAGCCACCAGAATCCCCACTGCGTTCTGATAGAACTGGGAATGGGAGACTCCTAGAGAGGCATACACCTCCCTAATAAAAGGATGTAAGGACAGCCATAAGCCATGCTCCAAGTGGGCCAGGTACAGCGGCACTCAACTTTCACCATGGCGATACACTGGCTCCCCCCCCCCCGGCGCCGCTAATGTGAAAGTTCGGGGGATATTATATTGATCATATAACCCCACCATATTGTCCATATGGATCCTTGAGTGGATGAGTAGAAGAATAAAAAGTCTCTCCTCACTATGGCCAGAGGTTGAAACTTGAGAGGCCCTAGAGAGGCATACACCTCCCTAATAAAAGGATGTAAGGACAGCCATAAGCCATGCTCCAAGTGGGCCAGGTACAGCGGCACTCAACTTTCACCATGGCGATACACTGGCTCGCTCATCTCCGGCGCCGCTAATGTGAAAGTTCGGGGGATATTATATTGATCATATAACCCCACCATATTGTCCATATGGATCCTTGAGTGGATGAGTAGAAGAATAAAAAGTCTCTCCTCACTATGGCCAGAGGTTGAAACTTGAGAGGCCATAGAAGATTTTTCTTAAAAAGCTTGGACGAATATCAGAAATTTGTTAGAGCAAAAGTTCGTAAAAGAATCCTCTCAACATCAAGAGGCTATTTAGAAGTTTTTGAAGAAGTGCGTGAAAGGATTTCAAAGGACGTGGTGATTTTCAAAACAATCAGGTCAGATCCACATCGGAATCTGAAACGGTTCACTTGAAGCACGAAGTGCCGCCCTCTTTTAATGCCCCACGTTCCAATACTCGAAAAGCGGAATACCCTTTGTTATGTTCATAAAGCTTCGTTTCTTCAAATGACAGTTCAGATATTTGATAACGTCAGCCAAGACAAGCGGAGCTATGATAGGTAAAGAAGAATGCCCGATGATATCAGCCACGTCAATAAGACGAAGACTTCTCAGTTTCTCATCCCAAGTAGGCTTGTATTGATAAGAGCATATCTTATTTTACTCGGACCCGACTAAAAGTCAACTCCAAGTGAAAAGAATCAACTGTTATGATGTTTACTCACCTAAGATACGAGTATTTACAAAATAATATAATCATAGCCCTAGCAAACCGACCTCACCCAACTTAGTGGCCCAATCCCAATAGAGGCCTCGACCCCGTTGACTCATCAAGTCGACATTCTTTCAGGCCGACACGAAAGGCGGGGTCAGCTGACCCTATTGTCGAAGACGACCCACCTAGGGCACTCGACCACTTACTTGGCAACTTACGAAGACGACTTGATGGCTGTCAACTAAGTTGAGGAATAACCTCCGCCTCAAGCCTCTCCTCCAGAGTATATGTCAGCATTTCACTCTACC